CTGACCTACTGACCTAAGTCAGGAATCTGATGTCGTTTGTTGAAACGGTTTATAAGTGTTTCTCGTTTCTCGTTTTTTAAATAGATTAGACCGTTGGTTTTCCCGTTTGAATGGTTTTACACTAGTCATTTTTATAGCTTGCTGTTCGGTGTGAGCCAAGGCCCCGTGTTGAAGACCGTACTTTGACCTATAATGGTTTGATTTTACTAATTGTGACTTGGATGGAGAGATGTCTCATTGGAAATCATACCACATCTTCTTATATATATGCTCTATGGTTGGGTTGTTGTCCCTTTGACACATTCCCCATTGCCATTCTCAATTTTATTTCATGTGAAAGGTGTGAGTGTTTTGTATCAAATTGAAGAAATTGCATATAACCATTGATGATTTCCATTAAAGAAACTCACAAAATGATTGATTTTATACCTTTTGAAAGTTATCAATGAACTGAAAATACTCAATGGAAATGTCTCAATATCAGTTTTATTCAGAAAATATCTTTTCATGCGAGATAGAGATAACAGGCCAAAACAATTACAGAAAATAATATATATATATATACATGTATATTAAAGTCAATTTCATAGGCAATCAAGAAACACAATCTTATAATTTTGAATTGTTAAAATATGTATAAGCTTGAAATATGAAGACATTAGTATTGTTTAACTTATTCAGGAAAAGATACCAGCAATGTAAACATGACCTCTCTGCCGTACATTGAAATAGTTTTTTTCCTACCTTTTTATGCCCCACCTACGATAGTAGAGGGGCATTATGTTTTCTGGTCTGTGCGTCCGTACGTTCGTTCGTTCGTTCGTCCGTCCGTCCGTCTGTACCGCTTCAGGTTAAAGTTTTTGGTCAAGGTAGTTTTTGATGTTGAAGTTGAAGTCCAATCAATTTGAAACTTAGTACACATGTTCCCCATGATATAATCTTTCTAATTTTAATGCAAAATTAAGTTTTGATAGTGCGAAGTTCAGGTTAAAGTTTTTGGTTAAAGTTTTTGGTTAAAGTTTTTGGTCAAGGTAGTTTTTGATGAAGTTGATAACCAATCAACTTGAAACTTAGTACTCATGTTCCCTATGATATGATCTTTCTTATTTGAATGCCAAATTAAAGTTTTGACCCCAATTTCACGGTCCACTGAACATGGAAAATGATAGTGCGAATGGGACATCCGTGTACTATGGACACATTCTTGTTTTTGTTATCTTATGACGGTCCTACTTTTTATGTTGCTTAGAGAAGTATTCGGATGGAGAACACAATATAAAAAAAGGAGATGTGGTATGCTTATCAATGAGACAACTATCCACCAAAGTTCATATGAAGTGATTTTAAGCAATTATAAGCAACCGTACGACCTTCAACGATGACAAAAAACCCATACCGTATAAATAGTCGGCAATAAAAGGCCCCGACAAGCCAACATTATCATTGCCCATCAACAGTTTTACAATTTTTATCGACAGAAACGATTTTGTACCATTAATTAACATAAACTTCAAATAACAATACGTATATAAAAATTATCGTTGTGCTTCCAAAAAATGAACTAAAATTGTTCCGGCTCCTAAAGGATATGCAGATCATGCTTCATATATGGCACCCGTCATGTTGATTATTTATGAACAAATTCGATAAAAAATCTCATTCCGTGATGTAGCATTCAAGGGAAACAGGACGATCAAGACATGCAATACTCTAAGGAACATATAGGTGGTTATCTGTGACATAACTATTACTGAATTGTAACCAACGCGTGATTTTCTCTTAGTAGCTCTTGGCGTTGTCAGATTATTTTCGATCTATGAGTTTGACTGTCCCTTTGGTATCTTTCGCCCCTCTTTTTGAAAGGATAACTTTAATTATATTACGTGGAACCCATGGGTTAATAGCTTGCTTTTAATTATCAAGGAGATCCCATTAGTTGACAGGAGTCTATCTAGAAACATGATCATTTCTTGGTCTTCTCTCGACGGCAGTAAAATCGTATCCCAAAAAAAGGCCGTTGGGCTGTTTTGGATGTATGAATTCACAGCCACGTCCGGTCAGAAAGAGAACGTTACTCCCGCCATGCCGGTGCTTTATCATGGTATGAACCCTTGCAACAACTCTGTGAGAGGACGGGCGTTGGTCAGTTACAAGGCCTAAATTCTGTCCCTTTTCCATATACCTACATTTTCAATTTGCATTCCAAATTTCCAGCGATCATCCCGGTCTATCCCCTATTGCAGGACCTAACTATTGTATTTACTTTTAATTTGTCTCATCCTGATAATGCATGAAACATTTGTTCTGGACGTTAATCAAACAGCAATAAAGTTATCCCAGAAATTGTGTGAGGACATACAAGCTCTGAAATATCGTATAAAATGGAAGCTATACAAGCTATATACAAGAGCTGCTAAAATATTTTTGCAAAGAAATGAAAAGTTTGGTAGATGCCATCATCTCTGTTATGTCAAGTTTTTGTTTGAAATCGACCATCATGGTCAATTTCTAGATGTTTAAGTCAAGATGAGAGACAAACTTAACTGTACAGTGCTATCCTTTGTTTCAAGTTCGATGCGATAGATCAGATCGATGCGTTCGACGAAGTCACCATCATCTACATAGCGGAATGTAAATATAATTCGAAAATTCTGAATGAAATTTAACTCGTATGAATAGAAAAATAGTCGACAAGCAGAAACGCAGTTGATTCCCATATAATGCCTATTGCTTGTCGAAAAGATGTCCCCCAAAGTAACAAATATGTTGTCAATGAAAATAATCAAGCATCTTGAAAAAAGCAGCTTCAGAGAATTTCTGTATGAATATATAGAGTAGTTTTTTTTTAAATACGTTGATTAATTGTTCATTGCTAAATGTTCAGTGGCAAATAGTTCATGTGTATTTAGGACGATGACCATGAGCAATGGTAGGATATGCAAGGTTCTGGTCGACAGGGATGGCGGACGGGAATTTTGGACTGTCATTGGAAAATAATGGTATGTTACGTACGAACCCCTTCTTTAACGTGCAAACAGCAGCACTCGTTTACACAAAGCATCGGATTACATAGATATAAGAAGATGTAGTATGACTGCCAATGAGACAACTCTCCATCCAAGTCACAATTTGTAAAAGTAAACCATTATAGGTCAAAGTACGGTCTTCAACACGGAGCCTTGGTTCACATCGGACAGCAAGCTATAAAGGGCCCCAAAAATAAGTAGTGTAAAACCATTCAAACGGGAAAACCAACTGTCTAATCTTTTTAAAAAACCACACCAACAAACGACAACCACTCAACATCAAGTTCCTGTCCTCATTCCGCACTACCGCAAGGTTTTTACTACCGGAACGAGTAGTACCAAAGAGGACAATATATATATAAATCCCGGTCAACCCTTGGGGTCTTTTACCAAGTATGATTTATTCCTCCCTGAAACCAGATATCTGTATCTATAAAAAATTCGTAAGGGTTCCGCGGAACCCAGTGTCTCGCCTACTTTTGCTGTTAATCACAGGCTCAACAAAAATGAGGAAAAAAACTAATAAAAATATTCCTCTCTATACTATCTTTTGATTGTAAGTAGCTTCTGTCCAAGTTTGGTAAAAGTCCAGGATAGTTTATGAATCTAATAAATGTTTTAAAAACTTAAACTGCAGACTGTATGTAATGTTAACTGGAAGAAAAACTAAGTCCATTTATAAGTAAAACACGGAAAAAATGGAACAAAATTTTAACAAAATTGCCTTCTAGATACTAGCTTTTAATCATAAACAAGCTTCTGTCCAAGTTTGGTACAAATCCAGGATAGTTTAAGAAAGTTGTTAAAATTTTAAAAACTTTAACCACAGAGTGAATGTAATGTTAACTGGCAGAAAAACTAAGTCCATTTATAAGTAAAATACGGAAAAAATGGAATTTTTTTTTTTACAAACTTTACTTCTGGATACTATCTTAATATGATCATAAACAAGCTTCTTTCCAAGTTTGGTAGAAATCCAGGATAGTTTAAGAAAGATATTAAAATTTCAAAAACTTTAACCACAGAGTGAATGTAATGTTTCCTGGCAGAAAAACTAAGTCCATTTATAAGTAAAATACGGAAAAAATGGAATATTATTTTTACAAAATTTACTTTTGAATATTATCTTATGATCATAAACAAGCTTCTGTCCAAGTTTGGTAGACATCCAGGATAGTTTAAGAAAGTTATTAATATTTCAAAAACTTTAACCACAGAGTGAATATTTGTGGACGCCGCCGACGACGACGAAGCCGACGGAATGTAGGATCGCTATGTCTCGCTTTTTCGACAAAAGTCGAAGGCTCGACAAAAAGAAGATGTGGTATGATTGCCAATGAGACAACTCTCCACAAGAGACCAAAATTTTATAAAGGATCAATACAAAAAATGTAGATTCCTTGTCTAAACCTGTATACTGTAGAATACGTTATGATATTATAAAATGTATTTTAGAATATAATTTATTTGTTTTTACATCGACTTTCTCAGCCTAGTAGACATATTTCCTTTTAGTTTATTCATACATGGTGCAAAAATCAATAAAAGAAAGAGAAAAAATGTATAGAATATACATTTATATTATTTATTATCTAAACAGCCGTCTACATTGGTAAATATATTAAAAAAAACTTTACATTGTTTAGATTATATGTCGATTTTCTGAATTTGAAGATAAACGACTGTCAAGAGTTCAAATTATTATGTAATAATTTAACACGTCCCATTAAGCTAATTGATAAGGAACGCCACGATCTTAATGTGATGAAAGTTTGATAATAGAGTACTATGGGCGTCCTTTGATCCTTTATCAGAAAATGCACCCTACTACGAAACATTTGTTCTTGCGGATGTGAAAATATCTGCCAGATTTTACATTAGAGTTTAAATTAGGGCAAGGAGCTCATATAACCAGTTTAGTTATTTTACTTCCATGGTTAGGGTAAAAAACTAAAAAAACTAAAAAGTCAAGCGTTGATAAAATAAATAATAATAATCTTTATTGTCATATAAACAAATTAAACATGTTTGTGACAAACTGAAAAAAAAACTAACATACACTCATACATATAATATATATGTATATATCAATTGTTGCAAGTATATAATATAGTGAAAAATCAAAATACAAATTACAACATATTAATATACCACAAAAATTTTAACCATCGGTAAATCAAGAGTCCCCTGTCCTCAGTTCCATTGACTGTTTTAAAAACGAGCCTAAACTTTGTACCTGTTCCATTGACTGTTTTAAAAACAAGTCTAAACTTTGTACCTGTTGAAAATTTTATTGATTGAGTATGTATTGTAGTTTTTGTTTGTTAGTGCAACTCATAAAGTCAGTATTTTGAGAAGCAATTTCAGAGAAGTAATCATTTCTTACATGTTTATTTGTTTCGCAATGAAAGAAGGAGTGAAATTCATCATGTTTAACTTTAATAGGGCAAAAATAAAAATTAATTTTAACATGGAAAGCGGTGGAGCTAATTTCCTCTAAATTTCTTTCTACTAAGACCATTATAAAAAGTTCTCCGTTATTTGAAAAGTCATACATGTAGTGTCAAATGAATACTTTTAGATTTAAACATGTAATTTTTTTACATATTTTCGCACACGTGATTATCTTATTATTGAAATTTCTTAACATGGCACAAGACTTCAATTTTTACAGATATTTGCAAATTTTTAGTATTTATTAAAAATTGATCTGTTGGACACCCATAAGCAATTTAAATCGCAGGAGAGTTTTAAACTCCTTATTTGATAATAATTGATAAACTTAAGTTATGACCTTTATATACAGACCTTTATATTTTAGAAACTTTTGGAAATTTGGATCTCAGATTTGAATAGATACCTAGACCATGGAAGTATTATATTTATATATTACTTCCATACATAGACACTGCATTTGGAAAGGTTCAGAGTTGTTTGAATTTGAAAAAATATTCTTGGTATCCATTCGTTAGGCTAGCATTAAGTACACAGCTTGAGGTTATGGACTAAGTATATTTTGCCTTCCAATAAAATAGACTTGTGGTTAAAGCCTATACTTAATTTTCACTTATGTTGTATATGTTGTACACTTGTATTGTGCATTGTTATATAAATCATATGTGCCTTATCCAATGAATAATTAGGATTTGGACACGTTACATGTAGTACAACAAATACAGGGGAAATTGGCCGTACCTCTGTAAAATTTCATATCCTTTAACTTTTGCTTTATCTTAATCTTGAACTCTGCTTTAATACATAAGGCCAATGTATACCAAATCGTATATGCCACATCTGTCTATATCATAGAAACTGTGATTGGTAAACAAACATAGCTGTTATGATTACACAAAAGATTCCATTGAACCACATTTGCATCTTCCTTTCTATGATACTAAAAGAGGAAATATACATGAACATACAAAGACACATAATAACGATTTCTCGATTTCTACAGATTGGATTGAGCTGCGAATGCCCATATGTTACGACATTTCATAGATCCGTCACCCATTTTGTCTGAAAATGATAAACCACTTAAAAAAGGGGGAAGGGCTAGTTAGCCAACATTTGGACTGTTACTTTTAAAAAGTCTATGCACTTAACAAATATGCAATTCAATAAGGGGGACCGTCCCCCTGCCCCCTCCACTTCCTCATCTGCCCACTGTCGTAATCGAAATTTCACTTCATTGGAGTCGGTGTTGACGAAGTCTTCTGTGTCTTCATTATAAACAAACCTGAATGATACAATGGCATACCTTCTCTTGTATTAACGATATTATTTCAGATCACCGAAATTAAAATGGTTTATTCAATATTTTGGGCAACAAATACAGTATATCTGTTTTCAGGAATAGGCGCACAATCAGGGTTCTCAGAAGTGCAGTATCAAAAAAGTGAAGAAAAATGTTTGCGCAATCATGTCTTGAAAATGGTTCAAACTGAGATAAAATCATTTTACCCGTAAGCGAAAAGAATCGTAAATGTATGATGAGTTATTGTTAATAAAGTTGTATTGAAATTAAACTTATGTGAATTAAAAACTTAAAAACTGCAAGCTGTCAAATTATAAATCGATTATCAAAGTCTATAGATGAGTTAACGCACATCAGCAAGATCAAAATATCGATGAACAATTAGTTGTTTGCTGGCTTTAATGCCACTTTCATTACGCTTGGCTTTCCATGTCAATCAAGACTAATTTGTAGAGAAAGCCAGAGAGAACCACTGGCCTTCGACAGGAAAATAAAGAACCGTCTGTCTATTTTTAAAGATCTAAGCCGAACACGCTTTGCCGAAGAAAAAAAAACAAAGTTTTGACACGCTAGTGCCCATTAAAGTACTACGTATACAACTCGATGATCAAGTTCCCTTCACATATCGACAGTTCCAGTTTTCTTATGATAAATGAATATTCTATATCATACTCTTTGAAATGGATAGGGTTTGTTGAATTGGTTCGTCCTGGATATATCTGTAATACTTGCCACTGAACGACGAAATGATCTATTAACCATTTATAGGAATTGCGAAATTGTACTCTTTCAACTGGGAGTAAGACTAATTGTTTATTGAATTTTGATTATCAATATCATTTCCTACGTACTGTTAAGGGGATGACCATGTTATTGTTGGAGGAGAGGGGGCAGTATATGATTTTCGGGAAGAGAATATAAATTTTCCCCTTTTGCGAAGCCGGCTATTTTATTTTTTTTTATCTAAAATGGTCTTTTTTCAGAGACATGTATAACAAGGCCAGAAGACTCATGAAATAATCCCCCTCCAAGAATATCAAATGGTCGTTCACATATAAACAAAGCCGGAAAATCTTTATTATTTTTTATACATATTGATAGAGAAAATTGATTAAGAGATTTTTAGATAGCTGCATGCGTAACATCAACAAACAACAAACAGTATACTCTAATGTTAATGCGAAATGTTTTAGAAGATACTCTGATTTATGTAGACCGACACACTGAGTTGATATTTTAAAATGATGACTCCGTTATTAGTCCAAAAAAGAACTCAATGTTTAATATTTTGTCAAGACTTAGTCTTTGCTCTTATAACTACAAATACCATTTGTAAAGTCTTTGGTTTTTTTCCGACTTGGACAAACCCACAACCTCAACGCCTGTACCTGGGACAAATACACGCTCTTGGGGAGCTACCATTTGATTTTTATGGGGGGGGGGGGGGGGGGCCAGGATGAAAAATTTTTGTCCTGCCTATTTATTTTTCCCTCTTTTCGGTCCTGCCTTTTTATTTTTCACTCTATTCGGTCCTGCCTTTTTATTTTTCACTCTATTCGGTCCTGCCTTTTTATTTTTCACTCTATTCGGTCCTGCCTTTTTTTTCAGTTTATCCTGACTTTTGTTTTTACATAAATTGTCATCCTGCCTTTTTTTTTTGCAAATAATCTCATCCTGCTTTTTTTACTCAAAAATTCTGTCCTGCCTATTTTTTTCAAATTTTATCCTAGCCCCCCATAAAAATCAAAGGGTAGCTCCCTTACCGTGAAACTACCGATGTGGTAATACAAGAAAAAAATCTAGAGTTAAATAGAACTTAAATCAAAAGCAACAACAGTTGTATAGGATATTCCATGTAAAAATACTTTCATTTATAACCGCCCTTTCAAAGAAGGTAGGCCTATTGTGTGTGCCATTCTACCTGTGTGGAAGTGCTATTGTAAAAAACAACTTTTCTTTTGAAGAAGACCTACGACATACGATGATGTTCGGCTTAATTGTCATCATGACTGGTACAAAATGTATATTACCTTTAAGTTCGGTCACAATGTCAAAATATCAATGTCGCATTATTCGTATTGATGTTACCTATCCGAATAAAGTCCTTTGACTTAACCTTTGTGACTTGATGTTAAATGAGTTGGTGTAATTTTTTGTCAATCTTACTTATTCATGATATTGGTTCTCTAAAAAAAGTTCTCGGTTTCGAACTGTGTGTTCGTGTGACATTAAATAAAAAAAGAAAAAGATTTCAGGTTTGAAGGTTAGAAAATTTTCATACAATAACAACTTGAACTAATTTTAGCCAGACTATTAAATTCTGTGGTATTTGACAACCTGGGTGTAGAGAATATACGGAGAAATGCACAACGTCAAAATGTAATAATGGGAGGGAAATTGAAATTGTGTTTTCGTCATCGGTTGTTATAAACTGACTACTAAAACTTTCAAATAGTTGTGCAAGTTTGTCTAGTTTTCTATTACGAAACAAAAACATTCACAGCTCGACTTTCTCGTATGATATTAAAAAAGGAGCGGATGCTTCGCATGCTCAATTCAAAATAATTATCCCTGAAACACTTTTCGCACAAACTTAATCTTACATGACACAAACATACAGATTCAAGCAGGCTTCAAAGATTCGTTGATGGGTAAAATAGATACACGTCTAGCATACTCGACAACACTATAGCTTTTTTATTGATTTTATAGCAAGAAAATCCCAAAGGATCAATGTTTTAAAAAAAGGCCTATATTTTGTTTTATAATTTCCCACTTATTCTTCTTTCATTTAGAAAACAATCGAAACTAGGTGCGTAAAGGAACGACCATTGAACTTCCAAGGGGGTCCGGGGGGGGTGGGGGGGGGGGGGGTTAAAAAATTATTCTGAATGAAAATTCACCCCATGCCTTATATTTATAGTGTTAGATTTGAAAAAAAAATATTCTGGTTGATCGCGTCAAAGATTGAAGCTTGAAAAAATATTAAACATCAACAGTAAAATCATATCAATCTGATATGTTACTCTTCTGTTGTAAAATTCTAGGGGGCGATTTTTTTTCTTGATTTTATTCTTGGCTTTATGAGAGAAGTAAGCGGTCTATGTATATATATATATATATATATATATACAAGTCTAAATTGAAAACAATGTTCAAACCTATGATTGCGTTGGATAAAAACCGCAATTTTTATACGTGTGCATGCAAAACAAATTTCTTGTTAGAGGGGTCTAAATACAGCACAAACAACATTTTCCAAAAGACCAAAAAGTGAAAAAGTATATTTCAACAAAACGCATTTGACTAACAGGTCGAACAACTGATGTTCTTAAATCCTGCTGACTGCCATTGGCGATTGCCAAATAAACGGATCACCAGATATAACAAAATGGATCTTATAATAATTTATTACCAAACAGAAAACCATAATCTTGCGGAAAAGATGGTATACCGCAAACATGAGGTGCATAAATGTGTACACCATATCCGGATTTCGACAATTAATGTCTCTTCAGTGATGTTAGGAATCGAAACGGTATTTGGAAGGCCATATAATTTACCTCAATTTAGGATAGACTCTTGAATTTTGAAAGAGTCGAAATAGGATGAACGGATCATATAAACCCGAAGGCAAATATAATACTAGCCAAAACGAAAAAAAATAACCAAGTCTAAATTGAAAACAACGTTCAAACCTATGATTGCGTTTGATAAAAACCGCAATTTTTATACGTGTGCATGCAAAACAAATTTCTTGGTAGAGGGGTCTTAATACAGCACAAACAACATTTTCCAAAAGACCAAAAAAGTGAAAAGGTATATTTTAACAAAACGCATTTGACTAGCAGGTCGAACAACTGATGTTCTTAAACCCTGCTGACTGCCATTGGCGATTGCCAAATAAACGGATCACCAGATGTAACAAAATGGATCTTATTATAATTTATTACCAAACAGAAAACAATAATCTTGCGGAAAAGATGGTATACGCTTTTTCGCGCTTTAGAACCGTTCTAGCAAAAATAAGTGAGTTTTCAGAATGAGGCTTTTTGTAAGGAGAAACATCTATCCAACATATCTTCTTTTTATGGACAGTCCAAATAATATTATGACATAAACACATTTTATATTACAAGTATGATTACAATCATTAATCACGAACATTGATTCAGATATTATTTATAGTAAGAACAATTAGAAACAAGCACATAACGTATGTTTTATGTCAGATAAGTTTTGAGCAGTCATTGTCCTAAATCCGACATCGGCGATTGTAACACCACTGTCCAAGTTAAGCGGATTGTTGACATGTTTAAACCGGTTCTAAGGCTTGTAAGTTCCTGTCCCAAGTCATTAGCCAGTAATTCAGTAGTTTCGCTTAATTGTAATTGTTTTTATTTAATTACTTTTAATTGATGGCTTACTTTCAATATATACAATGTATGAGATTAGCTCATTGGTGACGGTCATGCGGTGAACCCATGTCTGTTGGTCTCAGGTGGATTTATGTATCATCCTAATTCTTATACAAATCGGTTTTATTTTAATTGTGAGAAAATAAAAATCTATAGAAGACAATATAATGTTTAACATATCATCTTGTCAACATAACCATTACACTGAGATTTCCCTATAATCATGGTCATATTTGTATTGATATCATGGACAGATTGTCACTAAAACTTGTATAAGAAAATCTGTTTGCAACTACAGTAAATGTATTAGCAGATACGACATAAATAAAATAATATATCGAAAATAAAAAAAGAAAAAAGGAAAAAAGAATGCATTTTTTCATTCCGTAGTGGTTGCTTCATATTTTCATTTCTCTTCTGCTTCTTAACACAAAGATTGGCCAGACTGTTCCAATTGTATTATTTACATAAATAAATACTAGATATATAATTTGTTTAGAAAATAGCCATGCCCTTAATATTTTTCAGTATTTTACATCTTTTTATTTTTTTAACCTTGATCATATATTACAAAATCTTGTATGTGCTGGCGTTGTTGTGCTAGTAAATAGAAAGAGGTAAACGGTACATTAACCAATTAGATAATACATGTAACTTGTATTTATGAATAACCAAATAAAAAGTTGCTGTAAATGCAGCGCAGTTAGTTCCCCCTGAACACATCTTTTGCAATCAAAGGGAGGTAAACTGTACGAACATAAGAATACAATTTAGGATTCATAATGCTACATGTTTATATTGTTTAATGTCTATCGTTTTGTCATTAATATGCCTGTCTGTCTGTCTGTTTGTTTGTTTTGTTTTGGTTTTGTATTGGTTTGTTTATTTAGTAAGAATCCTATTGTTTGGATTTTAAACTAATAAAATTCGTATTCTTATTCTTACTGTGCAAAACCAGTACTATATATGTCTAGTTGTAGATGTATGCTAAACAATTACAATATAAAATAAATTTATTGCAAAATTTAAAAACCCTGACTATACTGATAATGCAAATGAATATAGATAATAACGAATATACGAATGATAAATACCTGATTAAACAGTTTACTAGCATAATACAGCATATTTGATGTATATAAAAATAAGGAGATGTGGTATATTTGCCGATGAGACAACTAAGTTTAAACTATCCACCAATGTTCAGATGAAGTGGATTTAAATTATATGCAACCGTACAGAACGTCCTTCAACGATGAGAAAAACCCTATACCGTATAGTCGGCTACAAAAAGCCCCGACATGAAAACTATGAAACAATTAAATTGAGAAAACTAAAAGCCTTATTTCTTAATAACCCTCGAAAATGTTAAATTATGTACGAGGAATATAGGAATTTGCAATGTAAAAGAAGTTATATATATTATGATGGAAAAGGGAGTAAAGAATTATGATCAATTACTTGAAATCTGACCCCCCAAAAAATAGTTTTCTTTAATAAATGATTCATTAGCCGATATATCCAACCTGAGATTAATCTACTGTACAACACTAGTACTGTTGTCTCTGATCATACTACTCAAAGGTCTATACAAAAAGTAATGTCACAGTAACTTTCCTCGTAATCCGATAATTCAGTGAACAAAGAAAAAAAAAATTAGAATAACTTGAATATAAAAAACTAATGCTATATTTTTTTTAAAAACTTGAGTAGAAATATTATACTTTCTCAAACATATATTTTTTCAAACGTAATTAGAAACATGTTTTATATGAAATTAAGTATTATCTGAAACTAATTTGCTTTGAACTACTCCTAACTATATGTATACTATAAAAATAAATCTCATTAAAGATAGAGTTAAATGTGATTTAACTAGACTTTAAATTGCAAATAAACATAGCAGAATAAATTCTCATAAATAAGAAGTAGAAAATATTTTAAATTCGCGTTATTCGTTATTAAACTCCAACTGCAAAACTTTCAATAAATTCTGATAAACTTGAAATATATTGTATTGTAAATTTACTTTAATGTGAATTAATTTTCAAATCCAAGCAATTCAGTAATTTCTGACAAACTTGTAGTAGAATTTACCTTAAATTTCAAGTATATTTCTAAACTTAAGTAAAAAGGAATTTATTGAAAAAATAAATGTTAGTAAACGCATGCGTTCATGCAGTGTGATCTGTGATTCTTCATGAAAATTCCGAGCAAGTAATGCTTTACGTGGGTGTAGAGGGATTGAAGATTAAAGATGTACCCCTTTTTTCAGAAATACGAAAAGAGATTGTAACTGGTTCTTGCTTAAGACTGAATTTGTCAGAATACAAGTGTTATGTTAACTTATAAAAAGTCTCTTGAATACATTTATCGGTAAAATTGAAAAAAAATATATCTATGTAATGAATATGAAAAACACTGTCACTTTGAAAAAATTTAAGTCAAGGTTTTGCTGCAAAATTGCAAGTCATATTTGTTGCATATTGTCTTACATTTTCATAATTAAATATTGAATGTATGTGCTTAAATAGAACAATGATATTTTGGTAATTAAGTACTGTTCCATGTAACACCCAGGAAAGACCTAATACATGATCATCTTGGATTTTCCTTATAATAACAAGTATCAGGTGGATGTTACTTAAATACTTAAAAATGCATTCAAATGTGCGGTTTATATGAATAAAATACCTTAACTCAGAAAAGTAAAATCTAAAATTTAAAAAAAACTGAACGGTAGTTTACGTCAATAGATATAAACAATTATTAACCAACGTTTCATGAAAATTGGTTGAAGAGTTTTTGAGTTATTGTTCAACATTTTGATGACGGCAACGGAAAGACCGAAAAAGGTATACAATATAATACGTCCTGTAAACGGGCAAATAAAAAAAAGTGAATAAATTAAACCTTCCAAAAACAATTTAAATAGATTCACGTGCCAATCAAATACATATTTTGACGTTGTAGCCCTGGAATGTCTAATCTAAATGAAATCCAGTAACCTCTACAGATCAGAGGCAAATCAGCATAAAGTAACTTTTAGTACTATCAGTACACTGACTTCGATTTTACCTCATCTGATGAAAATTTGTAATACAGTCCTTCAGAGACAAACTAAGCTTACAATTGCTTTTGTCAATAGTAACACTGATGTTAGCTAAAGTGATGCGCTAAGACTTTGGAGCAATTGTATATGTAATGACAGAATCACTGTCTCCTAATATTTCGCAGGAAATATCAGAATAAAGATGTCATCTTTTGAATGTTAAAAGTTGCTCACTTCGTTTATTTAAAGAATTCAACAACAGTTTACATTTTTTTAATCTATTTGTTTTTTTCCGTTTTTTTATTGTTTGTTTGCTCACATTATTAATAAAGAAATCTTTATTTTTTAATATCAATAATTAAATTCCAAATCTAAATGAAGGAAACGTCGGGAAAAAATGTTCATCCTGACAGTACCATCATTGAATATAGCAAATTGAAATGCAATAATTCTACCATTAGTCGTCCTTAAGAATAAAAGAATCCCGCTTTTATCATTATGCTTTGAGTGTTTTGCCGGAATGTATTGATCACCTTAATACGACTATATACATTTTTAAAAACGTAGAACATTTAGCAAACTCTCTTTTTCAAAATCGCTAGACTTTATACATGGGTTGGTGTTTCATAAATAATATGGAGGATTGTGGTAAAACAACGATGTCAAAAACTTACTTAATATTAAATTATAGAGTTTAAATAGTTTGAGATGATTGACAATTGAATCACATTTTGGTTTTCAGTCATTGTTTACTATTTTTACTGGCATATCTAAAAAAAGGAACTTTTTATTTGAAAATACGCCAGGTACATGTAATAATAAAAAGTACATTTGATATGGATTGTTAATCTCTGTTATCAAATGTTTCTTCATTTCTAGGCGTTATACAGAAGACAGAGTAAGTAATTTGTAACTTCTTGAAAAAAAAAAAAAAAAATAAATAAAAACAGAAACTGTCGTCTTAGGCCTCTTGCAATGATCTGACGGTAGTTTACTGTTCACGTATCTAACGACCGACCAAAACAATCTAGATGATATGTCTTCGAATGCTGTATGATACAGCCGTAAAAAAGTGGGTGCATTTACATGTTCATATAATTCATAACCAGATAATATTCGTGAGTAGAAATATGAGAACTGCATATGTAGTATACTAGAATGTCTTCAAAGTGTGATTTATTGCAACGGTTAGCTCCAAGACGCAATGGTCACACAATATTATAAAATGCTGAAATTATATTCGTTCATTTTGAACACGCAAATAGCTATTTTTTTTAGTATTTTTTTAAAACGCGGTTTGTATGTATCTCAAAATAATATTATGCAAATAATATAATTGTCCCTTAGGTTTTACTCGCATATAACATCTATTTCATTTCCATCGATTGACATTGAGAGAGAAAAAAAATGATTAGAATAGTTGATTACCTTGCACATCTTAAACAATCATATTTTGGGTTAAATATTATAAGTATGTGTATCGGATTCATGCATCTATAGCAATTGCCACAGGTAATTTGAAAAACTGGTTATAAGAATGTGTTATTACACTATGCGTATCACCACGTAACTTGGTATATATACTGCAGCTTAACATTTTAAAAGAGGAAAATTCTGGTGTTCCGACAGAGTAAACGTAAATTGGTAAATACTTTTGTTATAAAAACGGTTCCATTTTTAAGTATCTTTATTAACTCTTTGACACTTCACGAGCATAACTACATGTAAGCAATAAATACAACTTTATTTTTGCTGTTATATGACGAAAGCTATTTAGTGCATAACATGGAGCAACAAAACTTAAGTATACTTCCCGCAAACCATATTTTATTTTAAGCAATGTTCTTGGGAAGCTCCATGGTAGCAGTCTTTGCCAATGCAACACTGCTCAACTACCTATCAACACAACTGCCTGTGCAAAAAGATCCAGATGGAATCTTTGATCAGCCTTTCAAGAAGTACTACAATTACATCGTAGGTATGTGTTTTCATTATAAGTTTAGTTTTAACTCTCTAACTGGTGAACGTACTTTCTGCTTTATAAAACTAATTCTTAGTAAAAGTTGACGTCAAAAATAGTAAAATTATGACAATGAGACAAAAAAAGGTAACCGCTGTTCAAAACTCATAAATCGATTGAGAGAAAACAAATCCGGGTTACAAACTAAAACTGAGGGAAACACATCAACTTAAAGGGGAAAACAAAAAAACAACAGAAACACTGAAGTGCAACAAAAACAAACGCCAACATACATAGAAACGAACTTTTTGAAAACAACTGCCATATTTCTTACATGGTACAGGAAATTTTAAGAAAAAAATGGTGGGTCGAACCTGGTATAATGGCTAGCCAAACCCCCGCTTAAATGTCAATGTTACAAAACATCGCTAAAATGACAACACTACGTGACAGAAATTAAGCACAAACACACGCAAGAACACTCATCACAGAGAAACGCACAAATAAATAATATAATAGTCGATACAACATGTTAACCGCAGAATAACAACGAACATGTTCCATTAACGACAGACAGCACAGGACATCACAAACAGTGACGTATTTTTGTAACGAATATATAATCTTGAAATTCATACAATTATTTTCACAACACAGACAAAATCATGATAAACATGGTTTGATTTTTAAGGTCAATAAAGTTGTGTCGTTATTTATCTATAAGGATTTAATAGCGGTCAAACGATTTATCCCATTAACCTTTACTTTCTATAATTTCATAAGCATACAAATAGGGAGATATGGTGAGATTGCTAATGGGACAAGAGAGAGGCGGTAGATACGAAAGTGATATTCAAACTCATAAGTAGAAAACGAACTGACAATACCATGGCAAAAACAAAATGAAAAACTATAAAACGACAACAGTAGTCTACAAAACACAACATAGAAGACCAAAGACTGAGCAACACTAACCCAACCAAAAACCGGGGTGTACTATTTTTCAACACCTAACTGGACGAGGATGTAAACAACTGAAAATCACCGTATGTCCTTCTGCAATGAGGAAAACCAATACAGTATAGTAAGCTATAAAATGCCCCGTCATGATAAAATTCAAAAGATAAAACATATGATCAAATTTTCGCTTAACATAATCATGGCCAACGACAACCACTTAATTACAAGCTAGATTGGGACAAGCACATACATAATGTGGCGGGATTGAGAAGACTCAATCCTACCATTAACTCGGGACAGTAGTTTAACAGTCCAATCTTAGAACAAACTTTAAAAGTCAAATGGATATAAATAGACTCATCAGATCGACACGAAAAACAACAAAAACTGACATGATGATATCCTCGGGAATCCTCGGGGACTTATAGTCTACAGCAGAGGTATCAACCCAATATGTTGATGATTGATGTCAATAAAATATGAAAATAAATGGAAAAGGCTACGCAAAAAAAATCATTTGATAAGTGACATGTACTGATGTGCATTGGTCAAGAAAAACGATTTATTTTTCAGCTTTCTGTAAATGTTTTACTACTATTTGTTTACAGTTGGTGCTGGATCAGCGGGTAGTATTATTGCAACTAGGTTGTCCGAAGACCGAACGAATGTATTATTACTGGAAGCTGGAGGATCTGATCTGGAAAACGAATTTACCCGAATACCATTACAATGGCTACGAACATTAGATTCAAAGGAAAATTGGAGTTTTGACACAGTACCACAAAAGTATTCTTTTATGTCAGAGGCTAGCCGGGTGAGATTACCTTATAATGTTGTATTTGAAATATGATTGACTATTGTATATTCCTAACGGGGATTGGTGTTCCGATATTTCTTAAATTTCTGAGTTGAATAGATTGTCTGGTCATTCATTATCATTACATCAAAATATCACATTTTTAACATTCACTAGATAGTTAATCTTTTTAATTAACGTTTCAGCGTTCCTTTTATGTTCAGACAATTATCTTGCAGTCAATTAAGTACGGTTCAGTACGTTGTAGCTTTTCAATAATATCGGTATGTTTTTTAACCCTTACCATGCTGAATTGTTTTCAGAAATTGTCTAATTTTCGATTATTTGCAACAATATACAAATTTTATGCAAATGAGCCGTACCCTGATGCTGATGCATATTGATTGCATCAAATCTAAGATGAGGGATCACGGGGTGGGGTGGTCGGGGTTAGGAGGCGGGGGAGGGTGGGCGGGAATTTGCCCCAAATTTGGTCCTAATGTGCAAAACGCGTCAATTTTGACGTTTTTACGTTCTTTTTCTCAACCTGGAAGTCTGAGGGATGTTAATAGATGCATCCAACTGTAGTTTGCATGTAGAATGGACCCCAGTGAACACATTAATCACAACAGTTGTTAGGTCGGAGTGAAACTGATCTGGGTACACCAGTCTAAAAAAGGTCATTTGCACCAAAATTTTAAAAATTTCCGATTTTTTCCGATTTTTTACTTTAACTTGACCTGCAACCGGAAGTAGTCGTTGCCTAGGCGTATTTTGATAATAAACACGATCAGTAGTTATATGCCTTGGGGTTTACACTATTTGTCCAAGTTTCAGGCCTCAAAACTTCGTGTTTCAGACCTCGAAGGTAAGCCCACCCCTCCAAAACAGTTCGTATTTGAGCTCAAAATGAACATTAAAAGTGAGAAAGATGACAATTAATGGTGTAATATTGAGGAAACATGCATACACTTCGAATTAAATGGCATTAAGTTGACCTCCAAATGTATGGAGCGCCATTGGTGCCTAATAACGGTGGTCTGGGTACGGCCGTAATATTACGGACCCCGCATGGTAAGGGTTAATGTGTATAGGTAAATAACAACTACTGAACAGTCTGAACATAGACTGTACATATCTTAATTGCCTGCAAGCGAATTGTCTGAACAGTACTGAATTTTTGTCGCAGTAGATAAGCCTGAAAATTAACGGAAAGACTCAAAATTACTTAATGATTTATTGTTCAGTCTTTTAATAGCTGTTCAGATCAAAATTGCTTTACTAGTGATAAATTTTCAATGGCTTTTATCCCGAAAACAAACACACGGACACTTCTTTTTTTTCTGCTTTTTTAGTTCCTTTATTTAAATACTATCAATATATAACAGTCTTTTAAAAAGCTTGTTATTTTGAAACAGAGTAGCGAACATCCTTTAGCAGCAACTACAAAAATATTAACAAATAAAAGGATAAGGAAACTGATAAAAATAGTTGTTCAATTTCCAACAAAGGTGTTTTTCAGTAGATATAATAAACTGACAATAGAATAAACGCATCCTGCCTAACTAGTGGTTTTAGCATTGACCTGTTGTCTCGTGTCATATTTTATTCTGAAACCCACTTCGTAGCGATTCTAATGTTAATCACAAATTACCAAGGCTTTGCTTTGAAAACTTATTCATATTTCTATACTCTCATGATTCACATTCGACATCTTTTTCAGACTTCAGTGGATATCGTGTTGTTCAGTCTACAATTTCTTTGTAGTTTTTGCTGACTGATGTTTGCCTTTCCGTCGTATTTCGTTTGTTTTTTTTTGCCATGGCGTTTCCAGTTTATCTTCTACTTATTAAATTTAAATTTTTGGTGTCTGTCGCCTCTCAAAATTCGAGCTCAATTAAATAAATAATGTTCTAAACTGACTAAATATTTAACTATACGGCGACCTTAAATAACAAATGAACAAACAATTAAAACATCGTTGTTTTGTCATTAGAAGACCAAAGGCAATTGCGGTAAAGTGTTGGGCGGTACTAGCAGTATCAATGCAATGTATTACATTAGAGGAAGTCGTTATGATTATGACAAGTGGGAAAAAGAAGGTTGTACTGGATGGGGTTATGACGATGTTTTACCATACTTCAAAAAGTCAGAAGATATTCAAATTCCAGAACTTATTAATTCCTGTAAGTAAAAACAGTAATTTGAAATATATAGATGAAGTAATGAAAGTAATGAATATCATAATACTATAATGTAAACAGTGCAACAATTGCAAATTATGCATGTAACTTATGAATTCATTCTGTGAATCTGTTTCAAAGTTTCAATGCCTGCTATACACGTACAAGATGTACACTGTAACATTGTGGTAGCTATGTTTTTTCTTCTAGCCATGTTTTTACATCTATTAAGTTGAAAAAAGAAGCAATACAAAAGCATTAAATGGTACATTAGCATTCTTTTTCCCTATTAAACATACTCTCCTTTTCCCATGACTTTTTACATTTCCCGCCATTAATTCGGGTTGATGAAATGGCTTGAGCCTATTTAAATTTTAGTTTTCTTGAAATTGTTTTTCATCCTTAATTTGCCTGAGATATTTAGACGCTAAACAAAGAACAATCAATCAATCATTTGTTAGAAACCATTATCACAGAATTTGTGAACATTTAAACGTTCATAAAATATACTCGTTGAATTTTCAACGAAAAAACCTCGTCATAGAAAAGAATTAAGAGGATATCACAATTCGGGGTAATCAAAGAGTGATTTATGTACGATTTAAACTCAAAGAACATTTGTATTTGACATGTACATCTATGGTCAGAAACTATCTTTAAGTTAAACATCTATCACATTTCTATATCGTAGCGTATCATGGACATGGAGGTCCCTTGGTTGTTACAGAAGGACATACGGCTCCACTAGAGTTCCTTCATAGGTTAGCAGCTAAGGAAAAAGGCTTGCCAGTCACTGACTGTAATGGTTTTAATCAAACTGGTAATTATTTTTCAATCTACTGATATAATGATTGTTTTTTTTTTTACAATTATTTTTCAATCTACTGATATAATGATTGTTAGTCTTGTGTTACTCTGAATTTATGGCGGATATTGAATATCTAAGGAAAAAAGGATATATGATAAAAGTCATTATCTTGCCACTCACATTCAGAGGACAGTTAACCATTTTCAATTATTTCAAAAGTTTGTTGATGGTTCTATTGAGAAATGAACAGGAGTATACAATAAGGGCATTATAGAACAGAAATGTCAGTTGTGAAGTCAACATATTGAAATTACTATTTGATAGCTGACTTTTGTAATGTATTAATTTTGCTCCTTGTTGAAGGCCGTGTGGTTACATATAGGTGCTCACTTTTGAACTCTTGTAGATAGTTATCTTATTGTACACCATACCATATCTCCCTGTTTTCATGTTTGACGGAAAAGGTCTTTTCACTCATAGCGTTTAGCTAAATAAGCTACTAATAGCTAAATATATTCTTGGGAAAAGACTTGGCTCAAATCTGAATACATCATTGACATGATCTCAAAATAAGACTGTTTTGTGATTTTAGCAGTGTAACATTTAATGCAAAAAGGTTGTAGACCAAACGGAATTACTAACGACATATAATCAAAAGATAAAAAATGAAATTTGAATGAACTATTCCTTAAAAGCTTTGAGGAACACTTTTTATTTTCAAATTCAAGGTATAACATGTGGCCTTATCACACCTTTTCCTTTTACTCTAATTCTTTGTCTACTTATCTTCCTACCAAAAAATCAAGACAACACCACCCAAAATACCCAAGACAAACAACATTCCACAAAACACCACACAGAAAGCAAAATATTGATAAGCCAGAGCCAAGGCAGAAACCGGGATAAATCCCAGATGTTTTAGAAAGCAATTTTCGGTCTTCAACTGTTACTCGTCAAGACGATTTTTTTTTTTTTTTGTCTTTGTTTTTATTTATTGATCCGAAGGACATGTGGGAACTTCATTTGCAACATTTCAAGTCTGTATTTTTAATGGTGTTGCATATTTTATGTATTCTTCCATGTTTTGCTGTTGCCTTTCCCATCCTTTTATAGTGTGTGTACGATCTGGTTACCATCTTATTGAATTATAGTTTTGGAATAATTCAAGTTTGACTACGCTGCGAATTACGAAACTTCGGGTAATGACTATCATTCTTACTTAATAGAATCAAAACGTTGGTCAAGTTTGATTTGGACATATTCTATTAGTTTCACTAAATCTAATATTTGAATGAAATAGATATCTTTTATGTTTACCTTAATATGATAGCCGACCAGTATGTGAGTTTGTTTTTCTCTTAGGATATTGTGCGATACAGGCAAACATAAAAAACGGCGAACGTTGTTCTTCAGCAAGTTGTTTTCTAAGACCTAAATTGCACAGACGAAATCTACAGGTTGCTACCAACAGCCACGTTACAAAGGTAAATATTTTTTAAATATTGATTGTATATACATTTTTGAATCAATAACTTTAATTTTTTATCTTGTTTGATATGTTCATGAGAACAAAAATCAGTATGGCATAACATATATATATATATATTTTCCAAAAGACCAAAAAAGTGAAAAAGTATATTTTAACAAAACGCATTTGACTAGCAGGTCGAACAACGGATGTTCTTAAACCCTGCTATATATATATATATATACAAGTCTAAATTGAATACAACGTTCAAACCTATGATTGCGTTGGATAAAAACCGCAATTTTTATACGTGTGCATGCAAAACAAATTTCTTGGTAGAGGGGTCTATATACAGCACAAACAACATTTTCCAAAAGACCAAAAAAGTGAAAAAGCATATTTTAACAAAACGCATTTGACTAGCAGGTCGAACAACGGATGTTCTTTAACCCTGCTGACTGTCGATTGCTAAATAAACGGATCACCAGATGTACCAAAATGGATCCTAATTATAAATTTAATACCAAACAGAAAACAATAAACTTGCGGAAAAGATGGTATACCGCAAACAAAAGGTGCAAAAGTAGTACACCATATCCGGATTTCGACAACTAATGTCTCTTCAGTGATGTTGGGAATCGAAACGGTATTGGGAAGGCTATATAATTTACCACCATTTAGGATAGACTCTTGAATTTTGAAGAGTCGAAATAGGATGAACAGATCATATAAATCCGAAGGCAAATATAATACAAGCCCAAACGAAAAAAAATAAACAAGTCTAAATTGAAAACAACGTTCAAACCTATGATTGCGTTGGATAAAAAGCGCGATTTTTATACGTGTGCATGCAAAACAAATTTCTTTTTAGAGGGGTCTAAATACAGCACAAACAATATTTTCCAAAAGACCAAAAAAGTGAAAAAGTATATTTTAACAAAACGCATATATATCATAGTGAATATGTCTTGAAAATTTTATTACTTTTAGAATATAATGCAAAACATCAGGCAGCCATATCGTTATGCTATATGGTTGCATTTGTATATAAGTAGAGTACCATGAGCAATGTGATGAATGTCACATATAGAGCACATTTTTTTTTTTTACTTCCGGAGCACCTGAAATTGAGTATGTTTTTGTCGTTTTTCGTTTTTCGTATTTTTGCCATGTCATTTTCATTTCCTCTTCAACAGATGAGTTTGGATGTTTCCTTCTGCCTAATTAATAAAAAAAAGAGTAAATCATTCAAAAAATATTTAAATACGCGAACAAAGACTTAATATGTAATGAAATACTTTTCTTTGTGTGTATTGGTTTTCCCTGTGCCTGCATCACTTTGCTCAGCCCAGAATGAAATTGCAAATTAGGGTGTCGTGACATGAAATATTCTTGATCCGGCTATCATAAGTTTGATCCCTACTTATTACCGACGTCATATTGTTTGACGTTCATATGTTGTGTTTTGTAAACTGTCTTTTGATCTATTTCGTTTTTTAGCCATGGCGTTGTCAGTTTTTGTTTCTCGAAATTATGAGTTTAAATGCCCCTTTGGTATCTTTCGCCTCTCCTCTGACCCTAACTTGTCAAGTACTCTTCTGGTTTTTTCACCAATTGCAATCTCAACTTGACACACATTTACCCATTACTTTACCCATAAATTTTGAGGAAAATGTTCTTATACCTAGAAATTTCACCTGATGTTATTTCTTCTAAAAATAATCCATGTTTATAACAACGGAATAACTAAGTTTTAAACCAAGAAAAGTTACACATAAATATATATATTTATATATATACATATAACTACTTGAGAAAATTATAGAGATGCTTTTTCTGTTAAAGAATATCATTTTTTCTTTAATTGCAAACATAAATTTACGTGTTTAGTAGGTTAATTTAGATCATTACCATGTAGATTATTATACGAAATGGCAAAGCCAAAGGTGTTGTTGTACTGAAAAATGGAAAGAAGACACGAATCTATGCCAGGAAAGAAGTTATCATTTCTGCAGGAGTGTTTGGATCACCAAAACTCCTGTTATTGTCTGGCATAGGACCAAGACATCATCTGAAAAAGTTAAGGGTAATTATAAACTGTAACTGTCATTTTGAAATACAACATAATACAACATATTACGCCTCTAATCAAGAAGATCTTGGTAAAATATAAGTCTTTGTCTTTATGGACAAGTATGCAATAATGAAAGATATCAGCCATATAATTCAGTATGCAAGACGTGATGTGCATTTCCTCTAAATAAACATGATAAAGCCAAATCAATTACAAAAGTGGAGAACATCTTTTGCTAACTGCATAAAAAATCATGCATATTACTTTTTATGGTTTTCAACGGACGTTGAAGAAGTTAATAGTGCCACTTATGGAGAATATAAACTGTGCAGATCCAAATCGAAACCAGATATTGATTTATACCGGTTTCCCAATATGACAGCCAAGATTGTAAACGTTACTTCGATGTATTATTTGTTAAGCAAGATACAAAAACAATCAAAAATTAAAACACACATATATCTTCACCAGATTTAGAAACATATGATTCATATTGTTTTATTACAAAGGTCTTAAGACATACCAACGAAGTACATCTAAAATCCAAAACAGGTTTTTACAGATTTTGAAATTTTTTACGTAATTATCAAAACATAGCCTTTTGATTTGGCACAAATACAGAGGAATTTGAACATTCTCTGTCTTAGTACTTGTAATTGAACATATATGACGGAAAAAACACAAACATCGTCTATGCAGAATATAGTTGTCCTCGTAAAGTAGGACGTTAACATTCTAACAACTTTGTCAGATTAATGAAAATTACCGAAAGTTTTATTTATTCATGAAAATTAACAGATATCAGTGAAATAAAATGATGATTATATATGTAGAGAATTATACCCCATTAAAAAAGACCGATTCCAAAGATATGGATTACAGTATCATGTTATATCCCTGATAACTACTCGGGATACATATATATAATGTATGCGCCATTCAAATACATTTAGTATGACTTTTAACAGTTGCACTGTGTTTTTTTTTTTTTTGCATTCAAAACCCTATGTGGGTAGGGCAAGCAACATGATTGGAAGAAATTCAATCTTCAAACTTTTTTAAGGAGATAGGGACAACTTCTCCAAGGTTTATTTCACCCATTATCAAAATTCTATCGATCTTTATAACCATAGAGTGTATAACAACGCCATATGAATATGTTAAGCTTGCAATAACGATACATTATATTTTTGAACATGCAACCAAATTATACGAATAATAAAGATGGCACAAACTTTTATTTATACAGATTCCATTACACTTTAGGTATTCAAAGAAAACAATTACCAGACACATTCTAAACCAAAACGATAAATATTCGAATACTTGATGAATTTTGTGACCAGGGACCTTAACAGAATAGCCAAATCAAGTTAAGGTTAAGTTTGCCATATGGATTTCAACGTTAGTTTTTTTTATTATCTTCTTATTTTAGAAGAGAGAATTTAAGAACAGTTCGCTATAAATCCTGTCAGTGTGGAAGCACTGACTACTGTCCTGATGATACATATGTACTTTGGCCTCCAGCAGCGGTATCGACTTGGTGCTAGAATGTATTTTTAATTTCGTGCGCCCTTTTGGCTTTACCTTCAAAAGAAAATGTGTACAATGCCTTTCAATATCTAACTAAAGATATACAGTTCTACATCTGCAATATCAGTTCCTAACCAAAACAATGCATAATGTAGGTTTGCACAAGATTCAATACATTTAGATTAGAAGTACAGTATTTCTTTATCATTACACTGATGCAGTTTCTATGGTAGTGTTCCATTTACATTTTAATTTAAATTCAGATGTTTTGTAATGGCAGGTACCACTGAAAGCTGATCTACCAGTCGGTGAAGGAATGCAATATCATATGCAATACTTTTTCCAGTACTCAATTACTACATCTATGAATATGAACCAAGAAAAGGCTTTAGACCAACAATCCATTATGGACTATATATTTTACAGGACAGGTATACGAATGTGTAATACATATAAAACACAAATAGGATAACATGAAAATCAGAAAAACATTGCACAGTACAGTAGATCACACGAAACATAAACCCTGACTCCTTGGAAAAATAGAAGGACAAACAAAGACAATCAATTTAAAACAGCGCATGATTTATATAGTCTGATTTGGCATATGGAAAAAAAATGAGCTGCGTTAAAAAATGTTTGTCTACGCACAAACCATCCTATTTGCCTGTCTAGACAATCATTTGTTCAAGGGAAAAAACAACATTAAAAACCTTGCACATTCAAGGTACCAACTAATGACCATTAACGTACACAAGAAAGTGAAATAGTGCACATAATGAAGAAAGTAGTCATAATGAAATCACTACTATAGGAAGCTAGATACTACAACTCAAGGAAAAAACAGATATAACACCCCTAAAAGTGTAATCATAATATTGGTTTTCATTGAATGCCATTTAAACTGTTCATACTAAGTAACGTTATTAAAGACATCAGTATTTTGCCAATTTTCAAGTTTCACGAATCCATTTTAAACATGCAAGTCAAGATAAAAATCTGACGGAATTGCATTAATTCCCAAACAGAACGACACCGGATATGAAAGCTAGATAAGCGTATCCTGCAATTGATGCATTCTCCTCAATGTATATCCAGACTCACTCCTAATGTCACGATACAGAATAGGACAAAATCGGTATATTTATAGATCAGACGACTTTTATGGTAGCTTCACACCTAATGCATCTCGTTAGTTTAAACACAATACATATGAGTCAATCAATTCATGGTGGTGACTGTTAAACTTGCGACGTTTAAGTTTCAGTCCTTTTTCCACATAACCATGTTATAATAGCTTTTAGGCGCACATCTCAGTTAATAGAGTCATTACATATAAGCCAACATAAACAAAAATCCATGAAATCCAAAAAAGAAACGAGACCGGTTGTGAAGACCAGATAAGCTCATCCTGCAATGAATGGATCCAGCACAATGCGAAACCAGATTCACTCTTAATGTCACAGTATTGAGCACAATATTGAATAGGACACAATATGTGAATCTAATAGCCAGACGAATTTTCTTGTATCTTAACACCTAAGTCTGTAAACCATTTATTTCCTTAGTTTAGACACAGGTACATCGTATCGGTCAATCAATTGATGATGACCTTGGAACTTGTGAAGTATCGGTTCAGTCGTTTTCCCTCATAACCCTGTTAGTGTACTTTTGCGTTAAGAGTACATCCATGTTCATGAAGTCCTTGAAAGGTTGAAATTCACGCATGTAAAAGAAGAGAGAAGACACCAAGGGAGCAGTAAAAAGCCTGAAGTCGAATAAAGGCAGACCAGACCATACCCAGAAAGAAATACAACGAACAGGAAAGCAGTCGACACGATGTTGTCAAATATTTGCCTGAAACAAACAAAGTTTAAGCAATACGAACCCCGACAAGCACCGGCTGAACTGAGATGCTCCAAAAGCATATGTTTCACATGAGTTTGTAAACGGCATGAAATGGGACAGATTGATACTTCTGCGAAATGGGAAAGCTTAAATAGTTACTAGTTTTTAGATTAAAGTCGTTCATGTGTGTAAATGGGAAGAACACATTCCAGATAAGAAGCAAATATGATAGCTTAAATTGAATCTTTTAAGACAAAATCACTATGATATGCTCAAAAAATAGGTTATTGAATGACAGGAGATGGTCAATTTATATGACCGAGACATTACAAAACTTGGAAAATCTGTTTTTTCTTCTTTGAGAAGGTTTGTAACAACATCGAGATTGTAGGCAATATAACATGAATAACAAGTTTGCCTAACCTGTAAAATTCCATTGTTTGATTATTTGGTCTGTGCTTATTTTGTTTTTTGCTGCATTAATTTTGCTTTTTATAGTTATAGAGGGTTGCTCTTCTAGGGAGAGTTTTGTCTTTTTTTTTTTTAGCGCAGGCACTTTCGATGAAATTATGCATTATACAATCATACATGTATTTAACGAAACAGTTTGTTTTAAACTATTTGTCAAAATGGCAAATAGAATTACATGTAATATTTTTTTTTTGTTATGAAATAAATGTAAAAATCGTTTTATATTGCCCGCATCTCGAAGAAACCATTTTTGTCATCTAGAATATTTACAAACAAATTGCATAAATCGAGTCTCTTTCTACTTCATACAAATACACAAATGGTATTACATCTTCCATCATAGTAAACAAATCAAATGCGCAGACACTTAATTGTATCCAAAGTAGTTTAAACTTTTGTAGAAAAAGCATTTTGTATCGAAACAACATTAACTGCAAAATTAATAGGGTTTTTGTTGAGAACGAATAGGATTTAACGTACAATTTTTAAACATTTCATGTGTTATAATATACAGGTGTTCAGACACGACCTAGTATTGATGGGGCCATTTTTGCACGTCTACCAACAAATCATGATCTTGATTTTTTGCCAGACCTGCAACTGACTTTTATAGCAAATGCATTTGAAGGTGAAAATATCAAATGTGCAATTCAAAGGATGAATGATATGGTATGTATATTTGTTTATTTGCACCTAAAAATTTCAAAATAAACATATTAAAACGGCATAAAATTCTGTTTTGTTTTTGTCTTTAAGAATAGATAGTTTTACATACGTTGAGAGCTCTATAAGTCTATGGTTACTAATATTTATGTCAATAACAATAAAAAGTTACAATATTTTGTTTTTTTATTAATATTCTTGTACTGGCCATATAATTGAGTACTATTTTTTACCTCAGGATGGATTGTTAGACATAAAAGTGAAAAAATTTAAGTTTATAGTTGCATAATTTGTAGTCGCATCAAAAAAAGTGTCAATATTTTCCATTTTGTTAGATTATAATACAACGGCATTAACATTCTGTTCTTTTTTTCTCATAGGATAGATAGTTTTACACAAATTGAGAGCTCTATTAGTCTATGGTTCTATGTCGATAACAATAAAAAGTGACAATATTTCTTTTTTTTTCTTATTCTTGTGCTGGCCTGATAATTGAGTACTTTTTCTACCTCCGAATGGGTTTTTAGACATAAAAGTGAAGAAATTAAAGTTTCCAATTGCAACCTTTGTTGTCGCATCAATATAAGGTGTCAGTATTTTAACTTTTGTAAAAATATTATGTTACAGCAATTAAAATTCTGTTTGTTTTAGTACATAATTAGGGACATTTTTACACACATTGAGAGCTCTTCAAGTCTACGGTTGATTATATATGTAATGAACAAAATTGCCAATATTTCTTTTTATATAATTAAAGCTTTTACAATAGTACTGGCGGGATGAATTCTCTTTTTATACCTTAGGATGGATTGTTTGACATCAAAGAGAAGGAATTATTTCGACGCTTTCATTTATAAAATAAGAATTCTTTAAGTCGGCAGGGATGAACGGGTTTAATAAAATTGACATTATACATCGTATATATACAGTCCCTGTAACGTAAAAGTTAACACTTTTTTCATTCGGGAATCGTACGTACAGCGTTCGGGAATCGTTCGTATAGAGTTCGGTCATCGTACGTACATCATTCGTATAGCGTCCGTACAACGTTCGGTCAGCATTCGTTCATCGTTCGTTCATCGTATGGTAAATGTCACCGTTTAGGGTTTTATATATCGTATGGTTCATGGTATCGTTAACCGTTTTATTTGTCGTATGGTACATGGTATGGTTTAGCGTTTAGCGTTTCGTTTATCGTATGGTATGTGATATCGTTTAGCGTTTCATCAATCGTATGGTATATCGTTTTGTTAAGCGTCTGATATATGTTAGGGTTTTATTTCAGAAAGTTATTTCAATTACTCAAAATAATTTAATATAAAAAGATGCGGGATAAAAAAAACAATTATTAGTTTGGATTGGATTAAATCTTCTACTAATATCATTATTTGACACTCAAATAAAATATATATTTATTTATTTATTTATTATGGAATATATATAAAACGAAGGGGAAACGTTTCCTCCCATATCATTTTGACATGAATAACATGAGACCAAATACCGCGATATAAGTCTCTTTCTTTCTCTCTCTCTCTCTCCTCCACCAAATATTTCTCTGATCCAAATATTTCCTTGACACAATAAATTATATATAATGTTCTATAAATGAGGCTTTATATGAGATACATGTTTTATATCTAAATGTATTAAAAAAAAAAAGACAAGACATCCATGGTATTTGCTCCCCTCAATGTCAGTCTGATATAAACCGAAAATTGCCAGGGATATATAAAAATTCGTTGACGACATCTATGGAACCAGTGTCGCTTGTGATTCCTGTTGTCGGTGTTAAAACTATTATTTTGACAGGAAAAAGTGCTTAAGTCCATGTATGAGTAAAATACCGAATAAAAAAATAACTCTGCCTTTTTTATATTTCTTAATTTTAGAGGTAAGCTTCTGGCCAAGTTTCACCAACTTTAACGCAAATCATTTACCTTAAATAACCAATCAATTGTATTCTAAAAGTTGTTGATTTGTTCTTTGTGCGAATACATGAAATATTTGTCACTTGACGTTATGCATGCAATCGATGATCAAATACAAATCTACAGTATTTATAAACATACTGCAATTGTATATATGAAAGAGACTAAATAATTTAAATTTTAATTATTTTACACATATTTGAAGGATCGAAATAATCAGTTCTACAAATGGTTGTTATTGAAAGACTTGAAATTTTACAAATATCACATGCCTCTATGGAATTTCTTATCGACGCACCAAACATTTTCCTTTCATCGTGCATAGTTCATTTTCCGATTCACTTAAGGTTTCTATCGATCTTCTTACTTGTTCATTACATTCTAAAATTAAAATCCTACACAAGTTGCCAAAACTTTTATTCTCAGGCTAGACTGCGTAAAAGATGAATATTGTTTTGTTTGTGTACACACGGTGTTTTGAAGCCCGATATCCAGTTTCGCTGAAAAAGAATTAATTT